AAAAATCATAGGAAAAGAAGAAGACGATGAAGGAAGATAGAAGAAGTCGAAGATGATGAAGTAAAAGAAAGATCGGAAGGTGAAGGAGAAGGTTACAAATCAGAAGAAGAAGAAGATAATGCAGGAAAAGGAAGAAGAGAACCCGAAAGAATAATAAGCTAGAGAAGAAAAAGACGAGAAATAAGTGAATTTGAAAGATATAGAAGAGGAATAAAAAAGAAAAATCCAAAATGGATGAAGAAGAAGTATGAAAACAGGATATGACGAAGAAAAAATAAATAAATAACCAGAAAAGTAATAAAAAGACAGATGAGACGAAGATGTTGAAGTAGAAAAAGACAAAGTAGAAGTAGAAGAAAATTGGATTATTACACGAATTGGAAGAAGGATAAGACAGGGAAAAATAAACATAGATGAAGAAAAAATACTAAGAGGGCCCGAAGATGAAAAATAAGAAGTTGAAGAAGACAGAAATGAAGAATAAGACAAAGAAAAACCATAAAGAAATCATAGAATATGAAGAAGACAACAATAATGAAAAAGAGATCTAAGAAGAAGAAAAAGAAAGAAATAAAAAGTCAGAGAAGGCAAAGATCATGAGAAAAACAAGTGAAAAACGATAGAGAAAAGGAAAAAAGTGAGAAAGAACATAATTTAACAATTTTTTATTATTAAATATTCTTAATCGGAGATAAGATATATTGAATAATAGTTTTTATATATAATTAAAAAACTATGTTGTAGTCTATATAATATATTTTTTAATGCATTATTGTTTTCAAATTTAGATCTACAATTTTAATAAGTGATTTCGTACTTGCTTAGGAGAAATATAAGAACCGACAAGAAAGAGAAACAATTCTGGCGAAACAGGAAGAGAGTTCCGACGATAAAAAGAGATAGTCGTTTGTAATTACAATGTTTGAGACAACAAAAAATTATTTATTAAATTATCGAGCAATATGAATTTCATTTATCGATGATACAACCCCATATGAGAAACACTGTGTGCAATCATATGTAAATGAAGATACGGATTGAGTGTATAAAAAAATTTCATATAAGCAATAAATTTTGTTGTTGCTGATGAACATGAAGTATTTTTGGTGTCTTATTAATAATGTTGGCAGAAAACATTTCATTTCAAAACAATAAGTATATCTTGAGAGAAATGAGTAATCGAAACTCTAGATACTTTTTATGTTATTGTATAATATATTTGATTTTTAGCGAATGAATTAACTGACTTCATAATCGAAATGAAATTTGATGAAAAGAATAATTTTAAAAACTTATTGGTCTATTTGGATCATAGCTACTGAAAAATCTAATTAAAAAAATAATAATCATAAGAAGAAATCGGAGAAAAAAACTAATATATAGTAGATGAAGTGGAAGATAATAATATTTCTGATCAGTATTTCCTTCTTGATTTTTTTTTTTTGGTATGAAGTATTTCCTTCTTGATGTGCCAGCTAATGGATTATTTGTGCCACTGATAAATATAAATATTTTTTAGCTATAAAGATAATGATATTTCTGATTAAGATTTTTTTTTCGATGTGTCTCCCAATAGATTATTTTCTTAAGCAAAACTTTTTGACATGACATGAAAAAAGGAATATTTTCTTAAAACTATACTTATCAATATTCGATTTCTATAATTTTGTAATTAGTTTTGTATATATCGCATTGCGCTTGGCGTGGATCCCCACGTAATATCATATTATCAAGTTCTAAAAAACTGAAGGTAAAAGTCAAAACCATCTACATAAAAAAAGCTCTATGCCTTAATACAAAGAAAGCTAAACAAACAAATAGTATTGCTATTTTATAATTCTTTATGTTTATTATACTAATACTAATTTCATAACATGTGACCTTTCTAATCATCAAGAATTATAATAGAGAAATTTACACTGCTTAGTTCTTTTTGAGTTTATATTTACATTTCTTGGTACTTTCATTATGAGTAGCACTTTTTTAACAATTTGCCTAGTGAAAAGACAACATGAACCCCTTATTAACTTTCACATTCTAAACCGGCTAATATTAATCAATATAAACCGACAACTGTAATTTATACGATGAATTGATGTTGTCTCGGAATGGAAGAATAACCTTTATAGAAAAACTGTCACCATCGACACCCAGTTCAATTGTTATACATGTCCTCCACCGATATGTCCTCTTGTTTGACCTTTCTCGTTCATTTTCTCTATCCAATCGAAGAAAAGAGATTAACGAATCGAACTTGCAGACGAAAACTTTCCCGAGAAAATTCTAGAAACCAGCTAGAAAATGTGCGAGCCCGATGATAATACCGCCAGAAACGGCGTCACTCCTCAAGCGTCAAGGTCAAGGGAGCTTCTGATGGATGTTGATGACTTGGATCTCGACGGTTCATGGCCGCTGGATCAGATCCCTTACCTCTCCTCAGCCAGTCGCATGATATCTCTGATTTTCGTCTCCTTTTCCTCTGAGCAGCCTTGCTCACCTCTCTGGGCTTTCTCCGACGGTGGAGGAAATAATCACGCGACCGCCAGTGGCGACGATGAGAAGAACAGCTCCGCCTCCGGTGTTACTTCCTTCCGTCTGGCGGACTATCCTCTCTTCCTCCCTTGTTAGTCTCGCTGAGCTTTTATTTCCTTTTCCGATGTGAAAATATATCATTTCCTTTTTGAGATTATAGGAATTTCGATACATATTGATCATAGGCTCGATTTTTGAATTTTTTTATTCTCATGGGATGCCTTAAACTTGAATTTCCTGTTAATTATTTCAGTTTAAACGTCATATTTCTTTTTTAAATTGCTTCTGTTTGAGTCAGTGACCCCCGAACCTCACCAGAATCTGGGTACGAACAATACTCCAATAAAAAAAAAATTCATTTGGATACGCAATCGGCATGATTCTGGGTATGAATCAAACAAGGCAAAAATCTGGGTACGACACCGGCATGAATCCATATGCCGCTAAGTTTGTTGTTCATCCACACCAAATACACCACACCCATTTATGCTCCATCCATCACTTAGCCAACTGGGTATATCCATATGCGATTACGAAATTATCACTTGCACTTTGTCTTCTGATGTTCATAGTCTCCATTCATCACTTACTATCCACTCCCACAAAATCAATATGTACACGTAAGTGGGTATATCCATACTCTTTCCCAAAATCGTTTCCCAAAATACACACAATGATGCTCCGTAAATCATTTTTCCATCTAGACCACATTAATACCCATCATATGATATACCCTTTACATATTCCGGGAAATTATTTCATAAATCCTATAGATATATCCATAATGAGGGAAAAAATTGCATTGCATGGTGGTCCTACTGATCTAAACATGCTAAAATTCACATTGATTTTCAAAATTCACGTTGACCTTTTCCCGTCTTGTATTCATTGTCTCTATACATCTTTTAGGATGTCTTCCAATGCAAAAACGTGTAATGGATATACCCAGATATACTCACAACGTATCATAAAACATGATTACATTCTATCTATACGTACATATCTATAAAGTTAAAACGTGAGTATGAAAAGGATATGACCATAATTTTCCAAAGTTCACACTACAAAATGTTGTATTTGTATTCAGTCATACATATCCATAAATCTAAATGGTCACGTCTAATCCGTATAATTAATACGTTCATAGTTTAGCCGGAATTGATAATGACTCTGTGGCTATGTCCATAACTCTGCCAAATTCACAATTCACGTTCACTAACCACATGGATATGTAGTATAACAACAAATTACGTGTCCACACACTCAGACTCAAGTTACGACGAATTATTTGTATACATCCACCCGATATTCATAGTTTAACCCCTGTTAAACTGGCTATGTCCATAGTTTTTCCATAATCACATTGCTCGTTGCCGTATTAAAAATCACATTATTCATAGTTTAGTCTCCTATGAAACTGGCTATATCCACTGTCTCTATACAGTGATGTATAGTGGATATCTCCATATATATCCGCAGCGGCCATGTCCATAGCACGTTAAATTCGTACAATTCATATGTTCATAGTTTAGCCGGATTGATAATGACTTTGTGGCTATGTCCATAATTCTGCCAAATTCATATTTAACGTTTACTAACGACCTATTTATCACTATCCATTTATTCATGGACTCATAAAGTTAATATGGTCTGGTACACATGTCTACACACCTTTTGGCATGCACACGTAATGATTGTGTGGATATACAATTACAGACACTTGATAACAGATTAATTAGTTTTCTATGCATAACAGCCTAATTCGTTACATGGAGATGTACACGCCACCTGACTATTACTACCATTTTCGTCGTAGCCATCTATCACATGGATACGTACACTTTATCAGATTACAAAGCATTCAAAGAAGTTACATCAATTTAATAATCAATACTGACCCCCAACTTTGACTAAAGCTTCCGGCCATATTAGACCACACAAGTTACATCAACGACCATAATTAATAGCCGCCGCCGTTCGCTTAGTACATTAATGATCTTGCCGGCAAATTTAATCGATACTCGGAATAGATACGCCGAATCGATCCCGCTGTTGTAGCGACCCATAGATGTCTAACGATTATTCATCTAACGTTCCTTATTTAGATCAATCATAATATCTTAATCGGAAATGAAAACGTTCTAATATGGCGACTGGAGAACTGCTTCTTCCAAAAAATGACTTAAAAAGGGTTTCGAGTGAGATGCTGTAACAAGAACCGGTATACACACTTATATTAAACCAGTATTTCTATCGTCTTGGTAAGGATTGCATTGGAGTTTCACAAACTTGCACTAAAAAAAGCTACTTAAAAGTAAAGTGCTAAATTTTGTAAATAGAAACTTGTAAACGCCTCATTATAATAACATTCGATTTGACTTAAGAAAAATATTGAATTAATTATTTTACCTGAAAAAAAAAAAAACTAATATAGCCTGGATATCCTTAAACGACGTAGGTTGCAGCCGATATCCTTCCTCATATTGTTCCAAAACAACGTCATAGTGAAGCCAGAAAAAATTGAACCAGTGACGACATCGCCGGAGATGGAGATTATGGCGGCGGATGATATCGGCATCGGCGTAGATTTATTCCCGCCGCTCTCTCCTCTCACCTTCTCTCTCTACGACTCGTTCTTCACCTCTCATTGCTCTTGCTGCTTTTCTCTCCTTTCCCCAGCTCCACCGCAGTCTCCGGCCTCTCTCTACTGCTCCGCCGCTTGTTCTCTCACCGATTCTCCCATCGTTTCCCAAATAATTCCGGACCATTCCCTAATTCTCTCCTCCGACATCCGAGCCGCCCTCCGTCTCCTCAATTCCATCCCCTCCTACGCCGTCGTCGCTGCTTCGTTGCCGCACCGATTCGGTGGTCTTCTTACCAATCACCACCGCCTAATGGCTGATTCCTCCTTCTCTGTCGCTATCCAATGCGCCGCCAATTTCATCGCTGTCGTTCTGAGGTCTGATCGGAAAAACACCGAGTTAGAGGAAGCGGCTATCTGCTCTGTGCTAACGAACGCTGTAGAGCTGCAAGATAGCTCCGGACGCGCTCTAGGAATCGCAGTTTATGACACGCGATTCTCCTGGATCAACCATAGCTGCTCTCCAAACGCCTGTTACCGTTTCGTGATCTCTCCTCACAGCACCACGACGCCGTCGTTTCAGGATTATCCGAAAATGCTTCCTCACACCACCAACACAGAGAAGGTTATCCTAAGACACATACATTCTCATTTTTGACACTATACAACTTAGAAATTGAAGAGCTTTTTTTGCTTCTTGCAGGAACAAATTGGTGTTTGCAGCCGCATCACCTCCCTCTGGGAAGGTTGTGTCTTCATTTTGAATGTTACAAAGATATCAATTTTTATATTTGTCCATTTTATTTTTAATAATTTGTACAGGAAAAACAGTGAGATATGGTCCAAAGGTAGTTGCGAGAAGTATCAAGAGGATCAAGAGTGGTGAGGAGATTACTATATCATATATCGACCTAATGCAACCGACGGTTCGTTTTTGAGAAACCCGAGAATTGAGTTTCTCTTGTTTCTCCAAATTCATATGCTTTTGAGAAATCCTTCTATGTAGATAGGTTCATAGGTACATGGTTTATCTTGTCTAAAAAGTGTGTTCCTTTTTTATCATTAGGGACTGAGGCAGTCAGATTTGTGGTCGAAATATCGATTTATATGTAGCTGTCGACGATGTACAGCATCACCTCCGGATTATGTGGACTCTATTTTAGAGGTATCAATACAACAGAGGCCTCACAACATGTAAAAAGTTACTCCTCTATCACTGTTTTTTGGTGTAGTTGCTCAGTCGCCGTAATTTCAGATCAAAAGCTATCCAATTGTCAACTTATTAATCTGTTTGCGTAATCATCTTTTTTGTCTATACGTTGCAGGTACAGCAACTTTGTTTAGATAGCTCCTTAAAATAGCTAATGTTTATAATGCGTCTATCTAGGGATTTGTTGCGTTGGAGCCTGAAAAAACAACCGTTGGCCATTATCACGGAGCCACCAACAAAGATGAAGCAGTGAGAAAGATGACTGATCACATCGAAGAAGCCATAGGCGATTTTCTATTAGACAACATAAATCCCGAAACATGTTGTGAAAAGATTGAGAGTGTGCTGCATCACGGTATCCAGATCAAAACAAATTCACAGCCATCTCAACATCTGCGGTTACATCCGAGTCACCATGTCGCTCTTCATGCCTACATTACTCTGGCTACTGCTTACAGAATCCGTTCGGTCGATTCTGAAGCTGATATGAGGAAGGCTTTTGACATGAGCAGGATAAGTGCAGCATACTCTCTCCTTCTTTCAGGTGTTTCTCACCATCTCTTCTCCGCAGAACCTTCTTTTGCTATTTCCGCCGCAAATTTCTGGAAAAGTGCTGGAGAATCCTTGTTAGATCTGGCCAGGAAGTTTTCGATGGAATCCTATAGAGAATATGATGTCAAATGCACCAAATGTCTTATGCTGGAAACCGGTAATTCACACAGTGAAATCATAGAAAACTGTAGGCAGATTCTGAGGTGTCTCAGTGACATCTCACAACACGCGTGGAGTTTTCTCAATCGCGATTGCCCTTACCTCCAAAATTTTAAGAGTCCTGTTGATTTCAGCTTTAAGATGACAAATGGCGAGAGAGAAGAATCGAGTGAGGACCAAAGGATAAGTGTTCTCCTACTCTCTTTTCATTGCTTACTCTATGCAGACCTTCTGACTGGTTTATGTTACGATCGGAAGTCACATTTGGTCTCTCAATCGATAGTGTGATATGCGGGTGAGGAATAGGTATTCTAGAAGCCATATAATTTTATAGACTTTGCCCAAGGGAGTTGTTATGATGTAGTTAAGTGCCAAAACATGTACGAATATATTTTGACTCATGCTGCGCGCAAGATAGTTTTTATATATTTTTTTCTTAGATGAATTTTGTTAAAAAAAAATATGTAAACCAAGCACTTTGCGTAACAATTAGTGAAAAACTTTTTTTCTTCTTTTTTCTCTTACCCCAAGTGTAATTAGTTTTAAATGATTGTTTTATTTAAATCAAATACAACCTACAATATGGCAGAATAATGGATATATTTACTTAATTTTAAGCCAGACTTCGTACTCTGTTACTGGTTTTATCATTTTGATCATTTATATTAACCCTATTAATTTGCAAGCAATTTTGAAAACAACCTTATTTTATTATTAATGATGTGTTATTAAAATTTCGACTCATAACATCTTATACTAATAAAAGTGAAGCTATATGCTTTTAAGAGGTCCACATAGGATTTAAAAGACTAATTTTATTGGTCCACATCAGCATTCAAAATTAAGGAAAATTTTCAATTTTTAATATTATTGTTGAATAAGAAAATTAAGAAAGTTTACAAATTCTAATATTATTTCTGAATAAAGAATTCTGTATAATTTTTTTATTGGTCCACCTCAACATTGAAAATTAAAGAGTTTCCAATTTAATTATTGTTTTTAAAATTCTTAAAGATAAATAAATATTAAAAACTAAAATAAATAATATTAACATAAGAAATATTAAATTCAAATTAGATATATATACACAATATTTAGAGGCTCTTACAGTAGCATCCAAATTTTTGTCACATAACTATAATAATTTTTAAGTTTTTTTTCTATATGTTCAACCATTTCAAAAAAAAAGAAAAAAAAAATAAAGTCAGATTTCATTTAAGAATGAGTCATTAAAAAGAGAGTGTAAAATCTCCAAATCTTTGCCACCGAATTTAAAAAGAATGATAAATTTCAAATAATCCGAGAATCATGTCAAGTGATTGATATGCGACACTTTTGAAAAACGAAGCACTGAAAATAGAAAAAAAGTTTCTTCATTAAGACGAAAGAGACTGAGGTACCCAAAGAAATTTTTTGAAATAACATAACATCTGATGGGGTTTTAACAACTCAACCTGAACCACAAAGATTACAATTAGCTGACTAAGCAGCATTAGAATACATTCGGTAAGCCTCAAAACAAGGAGGAGAGACCAAAATCATTTGCCGCAATGGGCCTCGTGTGGGATCTTCCACCTTTGATTTATAAATCTATTACTAATAAAAGTTAAAGTTATATGCCGCTAAAAATGCCCACATATGATTTAAAAGTTTAATTTTATTTATCAACATCAATTTCTAAAATTAAAGAATTTCCAAATTTTAAAATTATATCATTAAAAAAAATGTATAATACAAAATAAAAGTTGAAGCTATATGCCTTTAGAATATCCACATTATATTTAAAAGATCAATTTTATTAATACACATTAATAACTAAAATTAAAAAGTTTCTAAATTATAAAATTACATTGTTAATACAAACAATATAGAAAAAATTGTTAATTAAAATTATTCTATTATTAATAACAGTTAAATATACATTATTATCAAGACATCCTTATCAGTATTTAAAATTTTAATTTTGTTTATATATATCAAAATTGTAAATTAAAAAAGTTTTATAATTCTAATATTATGATTAGGAAAATAAATTAAAAATAAAGAAATCTCTATTAACAGAAAAAACAACATGATATTAAAATTTCTTCTAACTTACAAATTTAATTTTTTTTCTATTAAAAATACATGCTACTTATACAAACTTAGGTTACTTGATTATAAGGTTTTTCACCAAGAATTTCAAATAATAATAATTATTTAAAATTTTTAATATATGCAAAACATATTTCCACATAATCTCATGTAATATATTATGCAAAAATGATCAAAAAAATTATATTATATATATTCGACTTGGAATTGCAATAGATTAATGTAAAAATTCTTAGTTTTTAGTTATTCAATTAGTTATTTCATTTTTCTAAATTTGTATGTATTAAAATGTACCAGTTTTGCCTACTTAATTATAATTAGAAAAAGTGAGAATGATATGATGAAACTGAATGTAATCATAAAAAATTATTAAATTAAATAAATATGATATATTCAATGAAAAACAGATATAACAATAATAATAATGAACATAATGAAAAACAAAATTTCATTCTTATTAGAAGAGATGACGTATAATCATTGAAAAATTATTTAAAAGTTTACACAACCAATTGACTGTTCGGATCTAGTGCGTATGACTGAGGTTCCAGCTGATTGGCCGTCCTTTAATGCATAGCTAGATACCTTTCGCCTCCTTCAAAAGAGCTTCTCAGAGAACACTTTATCTCATATTCCAAGGGATCTAAATGTCCGGGCGGATAATTTTGCGCAAGGAGTTCGAGCAAGAGGCGTTATCTTTTCCCAAATCGATCATAACGAGCTCACCGATGGTGATCCGCGGATCACTAATACGATGGACCAAATGTGATTGTACTAGATGGGTAGTGAAAAAAAAAAACCAATTGACATAAATATATTCAATTCATAAAGTTTGTGTAATTTTATTCATTTCATATTAATTCAACCATTGTTTTGATTTCAATTTTAAAGTTTGTTATTAATCTCAAAACAAACATTTTATTTATTAGTTTGTTTTTTAAATTAATATATCAAAATAAAAATTTGTATTGGTTAAACAAGAGAAGAAAAAATATTAAATTTTAAATTTAATTGTTTTTAATTGTTTAAAAAAATACATCTATAATTGGGAAAAAAGTGAAAAATGATTAAAAAGTTTATCTTCTTGATTTATGAAAGTGAATGTATAATATTTTATCATCATGTCAATAATATATTTAAAATGTAGCAATTGATTAATTTGTAAAAAAATTAATTGGTTTGGGTATATTAACTTAAAAATGTTTGACAAAATAATACGTTTTTGAAATATGACATATTGTATATAGATTTAAAACAAAACAGTTTAAAACTTCACAATTTACATAAAAATTATTAAATTAACACCATAATATTTTTAATATTTCTATCTCTGCTCTGTTTTCGTCTTATCGAGGACGATCTGGCGCATGTAGTTGTGGAGCTTACAATGAGAGAATCATCAAAATCTCTGTGAGAATCTGGAGCTTTTACTTGCAGAATAAATAAAATACGTACAGAAGTGGCTGTACGGAAAGGAGAGCTCAGGCCTCAGCGTCTCCCAGCCCTCACAATGCTGTTTCGTGTTGTTTTCCATATGGCCAAAAGATATCTCATATCAAATATCGAAAACACTAGCCGTTGCAAATGCGATAAATAGTGATTCTGCATAAGAAAGAGATAGTAAAATCTCAGTTTATAGAATGATTGAGAAAAGCATGACAACGACAAGATACATATACTTACTTCAATGAAACTGAACGATAATTTCCATCAAAATGTGACTAGGTGCGAGGTTTTGTTGAAATACGTACCAACTAAAATCCCGTCTGTGAGATGTAAAAGGCATAAATAAGAATCCATGATGGCTTGCAGCCTCGATTACTACAATAAAGATCTTTGCATCAATCCTTCGATATGATAATAATCGTTGTCCCCATCTATCAAAACAAAGTACACTTCTCATAGAGGTAAGACTAAATTTAACTACTATGGCAAGAACACAGCAAGAATCATCACTTCCAATGTTAGAAGAAGGTATACATACTGTTTTCACTAAAAGTGTGCACAATCAAACTCACTTGCAAGATCTGTCTTACTTTCATCGGCTCTAAAAAAGAACAGAACACAATAGAGAATCTTTTTTCTTCTGCCTCTTCTTCTTTAACATGTCCAATTCTGCCCTCAAAAGTCAAAAACCTTGATCCTTGCGCACAAGACGCTCAGCATCCCCAAGCTCGACTTCACTGCCTTTCGTTTCCAGCCCGACCTGAAACATCAGCTCTATTTGCTCCAGCGACTTCCCACTAGTCTCTGGAACTAGCACGTACACAAAAATAACCGATAGCGCAGACACGAGGGAGAAGACGAAGAAGGTTCCTCCGACAGTGATGGCACGTGACACAGAGAGGAAGGACATAGCCACAAGACCGCTGCAGACCCTATTCCCGACAGCTCCAAGCGCTGATGCCTGAGCTCTTAGCCGTAACGGGAAGATCTCTGACGTCAAGACCCAGCAAACAGGTCCCATCCCAATAGAGAAGAAGGCAACATTCCCACAAACAAAGAGAAGCGCCAACGTTATGCCAAGCGTTCCTTGGCCTAGAAATGTGAGAGTGAAGCTGAGACTAAAGAGACACAGAGTCATTCCGACTGTGCTCACATAAAGCAGTGGTTTACGGCCGATGCTATCGATCATGAAGGTGGCGAAGAGTATGAACACCGTTTTGGTGACCCCAACAGCGACAGTCGCAGCTAGCAGCTTGGTCTCATCTTGTATCCCAGCCTCTTTCAAGATCTCTGGGCTATAGTAGACGGTAGCGTCGATTCCTGTGATCTGCTGGAAACACTGGATCCCAAAACCAACGATGAGCATTTTCCGTACAGCAGGAGATGGGCTTAGAAGCTCACGCCACACGGGTCTGTCCTCGCTGCCTTGTGTCTTTGCAGCCGCCAGTTGTATCTCTGCGAGCCGCTCTTCCACTTCGTCATCTCGCTCGTTAGTCTTCATGAGCACCTCTCGTGCTCTGTCCACTTGGCCTTTCATCACCAGCCACCTAGGCGATTCAGGGATCACGCACAGCGCAAATCCTATGAAGACCGAAGGAAGAATCCCGACTGCAAGCATGATCCTCCAGCTAATATGCACGGCAAGCCCCGAGAAGGCGTAGTTGGAGACATAACCTAGCAAGATCCCTAAGTTTATAAAGATCTCAGGGAATGAAGTGAGAAAGCCTCTGGCCACGGTGGGGGATATCTCAGCGATGTAGACCGGAGCAATCACGACGCCGAGTCCGATCCCAATTCCGGCTAAAGTTCTTCCGATCATCAGAACCTCGAAGGAAGGAGCAATAGCCATGACGGCCGCGCCGGTCTGGAAGACGAGAGCAGCCAAAGCCATGGTCCATTTCCTGCCGATGGAGTCGGAGGTTCTGCCGCCGGCTAAGCTGCCGAAGAGAGAGATGATGCTGAGGCTGCCGATGAGGATTTCCGTCTGCACTTCCGTTATTTTGAGATCCTGCTGTATGAACAACACCGCACCGCTCATTACCCCAACATCTGGACATGAATCACGATACCAACCAAAACAAAGGACGCCTTTCGTAAGCCAAAAAGTAAAAGAAAAATCCGAATCCGATCCCGATTCAGATAATTATAAGCTCACCGTATCCGAGAAGAACATTGTTCAAAGATGCAAAAAAGGCGCAGGCCATAACGTATTTTCTGGTTCTGTTGCTTCTGGTCTCTCTGTCGCGATGATTCTGCGATTGAGTTCCCTCCGCGTCGGAGTCCATTCTCTGATACTTGTTCCTCTTGTCTCCGACAGAGACAGCCGGAAAACTCGATCCATAGCCATTTCCTACCGCCGGCAGATTCATTTCTCTCTCGACGAGAAATAGAGCAGAACCGGTTCGGAAAGAAAATTCAGACAAAGGGTTGGAGAAGAAAGCCGTAGATCTGAGCCGGAGGGAAGACGGAGACTAAAAAATCTCCTCTTTTTCTTGTTTGACCAAATTGGTGAATTTTCAAAACACAACTTGACCCCAAAACGTAAGTTATTCATTGTCCACCTTTGTTTGTGTTTGCATTAAACTAAAGTCATTAATTTAAACATTACGTTTTCACGATAAAAAAAGACAAAAAAGATTTAAAGGACAGAGAGAGAAATTTAGAACCTATAATATTAGTTTGGTCAGAAGAATCTTTAATTAAAATTAAAATTAAGAATTTAAGATTGAATGGAGCTGTCTGGGGTTTGAACCAAAAAAAAAAGATAAAATGGAACTGTCAAGGTAACAACAACTAATCTTCTTACTTACCATAGTCATTCAAACTCTTTTTGAAAACTAATGGTCTATTATTTTTTTGGTGAGCTTAAGCAGTTAAATGAGTTTTATTTTATGAAATTTCACTAGCAGATCATATACCTAATCAAATCCGATCAGAATTTCAAAAATACCCGATAGTCCAAAATACTTAAAATCTGAAATATCCAATCCCAATATCCGAATACCCAAACCTATTGGTAGTTACTTAGCAGTTGGACATACCATATACTTATTTCACATAGGGGGCACTTTCCTTCTTGGACTGTACACAATAGTGCCTTATTGGCTTATTGTCACATGTTCCATGCTAGAAAAACACCATCTTTTTTTTTTTTTTTGTGAAGAACAACAACAATATACAGATTCACTACGCGGCAAAAAAAAGAAAAGAAAGGACCATCAATGCTTTCATACTTTTAGTGATTACAAACTCGAGAAATCCAAAAAAATATGGGAATTAATTACACAGCAGCGGCTGATGGAGCCTTCCCCAGTGTGTTCCACAATATATATTCCCCAGAAGTCACCTGTTATTATGTAATTCATACATTTTAGCCTCAATTTATCATATATCTTGGTTCAAACATTTCCATGTCTCTTAGTCCTAGGAACTGATATACTACTTTTTTTATGCTGACAGTGTCTTACCTGAGCAGAAAACTCGACCGGCGACTTTGTGGTTGGGTAGATATTGACCTAGCAAAACAAAAGGGAGGCGATGATCAGAGCGTAAGAACCCTTGTTAACTTGTAAAAGCCGAGGCTAACACTGCAACCTAATCACCTAACCGGCTTACCGATTTCGTATCAATTAACATTCGAGATACAGAAGCCCCTACAATCTTGAACGAGACCTGGAAAACCACAAGACATATTTGAACAACAACCAAGCCCAGAAGATCTCAAAAGGCAAGCAAATGACATGCATACCTTAGCATAGTCATAGGCTTGCCAGCAGAAGGGTTCCTCCACCTCAACTGCTGGGAGATCCTTGTTCATTTTCTGCACCAATAACTCCTCCACGTTCATCACATTCTCTGTACCCTCACCGCTCTCACTCTCGCTCTCTTCATCATCTCCGTCTCCTCTTCTCTTGTTCTGTAATGGACTAAACTTAATTGTCCCAGGGAAAGTTGCCTCAAGGCTTTTTCCAGAAAGATTACGTCCAGTGCCCAAAACCCTCCACTCAACAGAGTGTTCCGTGGTCAAAATAGTCCCAGCTGATGGAGTCCCATCAAATGCCACAATCCGTCTCCGTGGAAAGGGCATAGTAATAGTGCAAAATTCCATTGACAGAGGAGACTTGTAACCTTCCATGAGGCGCACCTTGAAGAGGAATGCGCCTTCGTCTTCTGAGACCATTGACAGCTGATAGAACCCTTTCACTGGTGGTCCAAGCCCACAACCCGCCTGGTATCTCATGAGAACAAAGTTTCCCAAGGGAGGCTGGAAAACGATGTTCTGCTTGTCAATCCCATGTGCTGGAACTTGGGCGCATGGATGAAAAGATATAGCCTCAATGTGGGCTGTACTCAACCCTGCTAGAGGAAACGACACGTCAGGCAGTCCTTCTAGCTCTGCCCGACAGTTTATCTGTCCCGCGACAGATACACTATCAGGAATTTCATCACGGTCGTACAATGCAGCGTTAACCGTCTCATGGATTGTGAACAATAGCCTTTGCTTTCCTTTATACAGGTATGGCTTCCATGCTGGTTGCTTAAGTTCTTGAGGAGGAGGCTCGGCAGAGGAAAATCCATTCGCCTTAATAGCAAATATATTAGAAAGGCTGAGGTCTAATGGGGTACCTACAAAATTGATTAAAGGATGTCATGGTTTCACACCAGACAAATAGGGAACAAATGGTCTGGTAAAAGTAAGAAAATAAACAATCTATGAGATAGGGAAAGAACGAACCAAACGGCATAGCACTAGCAATAAAATTTCTAAGTATATCTCTATCCAATGGAGCTGCTTTGGTAGCATCTGATGCCGCAGCTCCAGTTGTTGGTGCTCCAGAGAGGGAAGAAGATGCAACGGGTGCAGCTACGGGTTTTGGCCTTGATGAGATACCAATGCTTCCAGTTAGTGAATCAAACAATCCCCCAACTGATGGTGACGCACTCACAACAACCTCAGGTTCTGATATATCACCAGAAATGATGTCACCAAACGCATGAGCCACCATGAAAGCCCTACAGCATGAGTGAAGAATGCAATCAAGGAGTGAAAAAAGACCACGAGATTGAACATCCGCCTCTTAGGCTATGCCGTATTAGATGAAAAGCATATAACTACTACCCTATAAATTATCCAAGAAATTGAGAGATGAAAAACCCAGCATTACCATCGTCTGTACTCGTAGCACTGATTTCATACGCATATGAAACCAAAAAAAAAAAACAACACAACACAGTGATAAGCTTGAGAAAGGAGATGAAGTTATAAGTACCCAGTGATGGATGAAATGTTAAGCAAGAGGGATGACAAACTCAGATCTTCACCCACAGCTGGTCCGCAATCAGGTCTCATACATAACTTGACGAATTCCTTCATCTCCCTTGGTTCAACCAAAGGCAAGACAAGGATGGAATAGAGGGCTTTGGTGTGCAGGACAATGGGCCAAAGAATATCCCTCTCATTTTTGTTAGATTCATCATCACCTTCTTCGGTTAAACAAAGGCTGATAACATGACGAGTGATGGGATCATCAATCCAGGAATCCGATCCTTTGATCGATTGAGCTACACGTATGCCATATCCACGAGTAGAGCCTTCCCTAATTGGATTAGCAATACATTTTACATTTCCAGAAAACGAAAAATAAGAAGCAGAACAAATCCAGCATTGGAGAAATTCTACCTTCTCTTTCTTAGAGCAAAAGCATTGGCGAGCTGTTGATCAGTCGGAAGTCGAGGAAGATCCAAGCCACCGTTTCCGTTCTCCGTCTTGAAAGCAGAGCACCACTGTTTCTCAACGACGGAAAATCTCCTGAATTTGCATTGCAATTACGAGTAGAATTAAGAATAGAGATGTTGAAAGAAAGAAACAGGCATGAAATCGGTTGACTTTAAATCAGACCTGGAGAAAACAACAGCGTCCAGATTGTTGACTATCCAGAGAGCCCTGATACTGCAACCAGAGGGCATAATTGTGCAGCTGCTGAAAAATAAATATCCCACTGATCAACAGCTAGCCAATCCTATGCTACTATTCTTTCTCAATCCTAATCAGATCACAGAGGCTTGCAATCGAGCAACTTCAACTCTTTTTTTCAAATACACATTACTTTCACTAAATAACCACCACAATCTAATAGTTTTATCGATTCATGGAAGAGCGCATAATCAAATCGATGCTTGAATGATACAAGCCCAGAATTTCCTAGCTAAGAAGACACTAGGAATCTACCATAGTCACAATCAGAGACGGAGAATGGAAGACTGACCGGCGGCGTTGGAAACCCTCCTCCCGCATCTCGTTTGGGTATGGAACAACAGGTCCGCCGGAGGCGAAGATCGCGTCGCCGCCGTCTCCGTTGGCATCGTTCACGGAAGGCGAGGAGAAGTCATGGTTAGGGGAGGAAGTGTCGGGATAAGTTTGTCTCATCAAATTGAAGGAGAAGAAGAATCAATTGATGAAGCTTTGGTTCTTTGAGATTACAAAGTCTCTCGTCTTTGACTTATCATCGCTGGTTTAATTCAGAAGAACGAAGAGAAGGTATGTCCGGAGAGTCGGAGACCCGAGAAGAGGCTCGGAGCATTAAACGTCGTCGTTGGGTGTTTGGCGTAGATCGGATTTACAACTCTTCTTTTCTTTTGCTTATTCAGTTACGGTGTCCTTTTCGCTAAACGACGTCATTTCTTCGATAATGCGGCAATTTGATTTTGAGCTAACACAAAACGACTTTGTTAGATGAACTTTCTCAACCATGTCTTTGTTTTTCAGGTTTCTCATCACCGTAATAACTCAAATCATATTCAGCGTTGAGCCAAAAATCAGATATTTCAGTAAGTCTTCTTCACTTAGAACACTATGTGTTCTTTATAGTGAGCCTACGATATGTTCAAAATATCGCTAAGCGCTAGTTGGGCTCGAGATGCGCCTAGCCATTAATGAAAAAAATTGATAATTAATTAGTAATTAATCAGTAGTTAGTTTTTGATTTTTTGAAAATATATTATTATAAAAATATTATGTATCAAAATTAAATAAATCTAACTTAGTCCAGACGAATAAAATTTCATTTTATATGTAGGAGATAGTTTAAGTACAACCGATTGTTATTAGTGATTTTTAAGCTTTTATAAAACAAGAGTAAAAACGTCATTTCATCATCATCTTCTTGCTACGAATCTGCAACCCTAAAACGACGGCTACCATTTATTTTCTGCATATTTCTTTGATTTTGCTTTGTTTTACTATTGTATTATACCATAATTTTGTAGATCCAGCATATTTTAATTAATTTCGACCATAATAACTAAAAAATACGAGTTTTAAAATTGACACTGATTTTTCCGATTATGGCATAGTCGCGGCGGTTTAATCCCCGCCTAGGCGGCCGTAGAGACCGCTTTTTTGAAGAATCAAATTAGCAACCAAGACTTTTCAACTTCTTGAAATTTTGCTCCTAATCTATGTTGTCTATATGTAAATAACAACCTCTTTGATCTTATCCCTCAGATTCTTTGAGTTGATTCATTGGTTTATTTTTTTCTGACTTCGAGTTAGCGCCGAAAAATGCTGAAGAAGGCTACTTGATCCCGTCCGGAATCAATCTTCTGGTCTTGGAAATTCTTCATCACCGGTTAATCATCGTTCTTCTTCTGTTTCTGAGGAGCACGATCAAAACCGATGGTTCTTGCTCGTCGCACCTCTGGTCCCAAAGTTCACAACAGAGCTTATGTTCCTCTAGGTTCCGACTCTATCGATTTTATTCAAAGTCCATATTTTCTTTATTCTAGAGATCACCCCAGAATGGCCATAGTTTCAGAAGTCTTGAATGGAGAGATGGAGTATTGCAATGACTACCAGTATCAAAGCTAAGAACAAGATTAGGCATTTATCAATGGATCTCTTCATTTGCTTGATGAATCTGATCCTTTATATCCGATCTGGTGTCTTTGCGACAGCATGGTTAAAGATTAGATTTCTCAATATTGTTTCCAAACAGATCTATGCTATTATATTGTACTTTCAGGAAGCTCATGAAATATGGAAAGATCTCGCAAAGCGTTTCCATAAGAGGAATTTGTCTCTGATTTAATGGTTGGAAACTGATATTGTTTTGCTTCGCCAAGGATCTATGGATCTTGCTACCTATTATACTGTGAAAGTAACTATATGGGAGAGGTTAGCTAGCACCAAACCTACTATTGTTGCTGAGGATGGTGATAGTCCAAAGGTGAAGATGCTTCTAACCGATCAAGAAACAAGCAAGATTGTCCAGTTCTTGATGGGATTTTAAATGATAATTTTTCTTTCAGTGAACTATTTTCATATTGATGATGGGAAGCTACAACCAAGGGCAAAGAAATGAATATTTCTCATTTATCTTGTAGGGGTTAAAGGTTACAAGGTCTGCAAGAGATGCATCATCAGCAGAAATATTACTTTCAAGGAAGTTGAATGCTATAAGAATTCGGTAAACGGCATGGCGGTTCAATAGAAAATAATACTGCTTTTCTGGATATTGAACTTGGATTGACCTCAAAAGAGATACTAGTTCAGGAGGAGACACTTAGGAGGACGCTCAGGTTGATGACTCTGGTACAGAAGATGATCAAGACGATCAGAGTTCCAAAGGTGATGTCTCAGGAGATGATTCAAACCAACATGAGCCAGGAACAAAAAGCTATAATATAGCAAGAGACAGACAGAGAAGGGAGATCATATTTTTTTAACATATATGATGATAGTGTGTACATGGATTTTCTTGCTTCAGAAGATGGAGATCCACTTGAACCCAGTGATTACGAAAAAGCAATGAGAGATCCACAAAGTAATAAGTGGAGAGGTGCGTCTGATGAAGAGATGGAGTTTATGTCAAAGAACTTCACATGGGATTTGGTCCAAAAACCAATGTGGAGAAAAATCATAGGTTGCAAGTGGATATTCAAAAGAAAACTTGGTATTCTGGGAGTGGAATCACCAAGGTTCAAAGCACAGTTGGTCGCAAAGGGTTATGCATAAAAGGAATGAGTTGACTATAATGAAATCTTTTCAGAAGTGGTCAGACATGTCTCAACCAGATTTCTTATGTCAATTGTGGTAAATGAGGACTTAGAGCTGGAACATCTAGATGTAAAACAACATTCCTACATGGTGAGCTTGAAGAAGAGATTTATATGCGTTAGCTGGAAGGTTATGTGGTGCAAGGGAAAGAAGACTGGGTGTGTCATCTGAAAAGAACTCTGTATGGACTTAAACACATTCCTAGATAGTGGAATCAGAAGTTTAACGACTTTATGATGGAGAATGGGTTCTTGAGAAGCAAACGTGATAGTAGTGTTTACATCAAGAACATCTCAGGTACATATTTCTATCTTCTTTTATAGTTGATGACATGTTGGTTACTTGAAAAGATATGGAGGCTATATCGGATTTGAAGAAGCAACTGAGTTCAAAGTTTGAAATGAAAGACCTGGGAGCAGCTAAGAAGATTCTTGGTATTGATATAATCAGAGACAGAAATGCAGGGACATAAGGTTATCTCAAAAGAGTTATGTGGAAAAGGTTTTGAGAAACTTCAATATGGACCAAGCAAAGACAGTCCATACTCCATTGGGGATTCATTTCAAGCTTAAAGTGCTGTAAGAATATAGAGATTAATGCGGAATAAGAGAATGAGTGTGGGAGATTAGCGAGTAATTAGAGAGAGATTAGAGGGAAATTAACAAGAGAATCAGAGAGAATAAGAGAAAGAGATTCTTCTCATTTCTTACTAAAAGAGTTTCCTAGATACAGACTATTTAAGGACATACAGAATGAATAAACAATGCAAGATATTATACACAACAAACAAGGATGAAAGTGACAGGATATAACGGTTATGTGCCTTAGGGACACCTGTGACTCTTGCTTCCTTTCCATACTCCAACGGCTATAAGTCTTCTAGAAGGTCTCTCTTACTTGTATTGATATCCCCTGATGGATCAGACTCTTCAATATACGAGTAAGTCCTTGACCTTCATAAGCATGAATGCACTTAGTCTCGGCTTAGTTTCACACCCCCCCTCAAGCTAAAATGTAACGACTCTGAAATTTTAGCTTGGAAGTGCCGAGACCCACCTCATCAAAAACCTGAGTATAGAAAAAACACATGGGAGAAAACTATACCCAGGGAAAAGGAGTATGAACCTCTTTACTTAGGGGCTTAAGATTTTGACAGGCTGATGAGTTCCAACTTCTCGTGAATGAACTCACAAGTCTTCAAGCTTGCGGTTTTGGTGAATATGTCAATCGACTTCTATATATGCTTTGTTATAACAAGGCAAGATAACTCATAGCTGCATTTGTTCCCTCACTTTATAACAATCGACTTCTATATGCTTTGTTCTCTCGTGAAATACCGAGTTTTAGGAAATGTGAATTGCTGACTGATTATCACATGGTGAATGGTGTTGGTGTCTCGATTCCTAAATCTTTGAGGAGCATCTTGAGCCATATTAGTTCAGTAGTGAGTCTTCTCATGGCCCTATATTCTGCTTCAGCACTTGAACATGATATTTACTTGTCTGGATATCCCTTGATGGATCAGACGCTTCAATATACGACTAAGTCCTTGGCCTTCATAAGCATAAATGCACTTAGTTTCGGCTTAGTTTCACAGTAGCAACTCCAGAGCAGATGTAAGAAGAGGCTCAGTATATGAAGTCGGTTCCATACTCTAATGCAAATTCAGTTGGAATGATAAGTCGTTATATAAACAATCTAATAAAGGATGACTGGAATGATGTGAAGTAGCTGTTTAGATAAGTCAAGGGATCAGTTCAAGTGAATATATCTGAAGTTTAAGAGAAATGCAAAGTTCAAAGTTTATGGAATTTGTGATGCAGATTTTGCAACTGATTTGGATAAGAGAAGAGCAATGTCAGGATATGCGTTCTTGGCAAGAGGGAATGTTATAAGTTGGAAGCCTACACTGCAGAAGGTGGTAGCCTTATCAACAACAGAATCTGAGTACACCTCAATGTCAGAAGCATCTAAAGAAATTTTGTATCTCAGAGGTTTGAGCGTAAAGTTTGGCTATCCATAGAAGAGTGTAGGGATATTCTGTGACTCGCATAGTGCCTTAGGATTTGTTAAAAAACAATGTGTTTCATGAGAGGATTAAGCATGTTGCAGTCAAGTATCATAACATCTGTGACAGAATTGAAGTTGGGATAGTCAAAGTGACGAAGTTTCACACTATCCAGAATCCATCTGATGTTTTCATTAAGGTTTTGCCTACTATGTGTCTCTGAAATGTAGACAAGGAAAAAATCAGAGGATCTGGATTCGGCTAAGAACAGGATTGAATGAAAAATTAACCCAAGGAGGAGTTTGTCAAGATTGGTTTAATCTTATGCCATTCAGAAAATCAATTGGTATGAGCTAAATTGATTTAAACCGTGATTTGAAGTTCGGTTCAGTCTTTTGATTATCACGGGTACAAAGTAAACGTAAAGCGTCGTCCTTTCAAGCTTCAAAGACTTAAGATCAGAGAGAACAAGAAGCTTTAGTGACCATTAGAGCCGGTGAAATCAACACAAAAAAGTTGTTATAGGTTGTTATGATTGGTGGATGGATAAGGTTCAGGATCAGTCATTGATTGTGGGTGTGGGATTAAATTGTATTCTTCAGGAGAGAGAAAAGAGAATGAGTTGGTAA